AATATTTGAAAGTAATATTTTGTTTAAATTAAGAAAAGTATTGTTATGTTATTATTCAAGGAAATAGAAGAATACAAATTTCGTTTAAAAAAAAATTAAAAATCTATATATTTATAGATCTATATTTTTGTTTAAAATTTTTATTTGTTTGTTGTATATTTTTATTTGTTTAAAATCTATATTTTATAGATGGAGCATTTTATTTATATTATATATAAAATATTTATATTTTTTGTAATCGAAATATTTATAAAAATATTATAATATATATATATATAAATAAGTTTTATTTAATTTCGATTAAAATTGTTAAATGGAGCTGTTCTATTATTATTAACGATCGTAATTAAATATAATTAAAAGATTGAGATTCTGGAAAAATGGAATTATAAATACAATTTCACGTTATTTTAAATTACAACTTGTTGTAGAAATTATTAATAACAATATTAATTTTTCCAATTTAAAGTTACGATTTAATATTAAAATTAGAAAAAAAATAGAATAAAAAAATTCTATTCTTTTCTCATGAATACCATATTTCGTGAAATAAAAATTTATAATTATAATCTCCATTATAATATGTGATTTTCATTTATATTGTTTCATTATCAATTAGAAAAAATATTTTACAAAAATATCGAATGGAAAATTTGTTAATAAAAATGAAGGAAAAACGACAAAGATGAAAATGTCAGCAAATCCATTTTCAACAATGGAATCTAACTGTATAGTAATAAATATGTAGACAACGTTCGTCTACATTTTCAGGTCAGTTGCATGCGTCCTGTTTATAGGCAAGTACAATTCAGACAAGGGATCGAGTTGTTCGTATAATCTTATTATCCTGCTGCGCTCGTCGACTGTAATTAATTTCAATTTCTCGTAAAATCTATACTATCTTCCTCGTGATTATAAACAAGGATTATAAAAAAGTATTTGCTAATCTCGATGAAAAATTTTTTTCACCTAGAATGCAAAGCTTTTCGTATAAATATTTTGGAATAAAATATTCAATAGAAAAAAATATTTATTATTATATTGTTTATCATTTGTTTTATTTCAAAAATAAATTTTGAATATAAAAAAGTAAGTTTCAAATAATCAATAATCTTCAATTTATTCTTTATATTTTATAAAGAAATTATTATTTTTCATTATTTTTTTTTTTGTAAAGAATATGACATCTATTGAGATATATTTCTTATCGAAATAATGATTATTTGAAGTAATTAAAATTATTATATCTAATTTTTAAAATAATTTTTAAGGTATGATATATGCATATAGAAAATTAGTGTAATGCGAAAAAAAAATATAGTGGAAAAATAAAATGATAATTAGAAGAATTTTCGAAAAAAAAATATTATTATAAATTCAGAAAAAAATAAACATTATTTTTAAAATATTTTTTATTTAATAGTTTGTGATATTTTTACAATAATTATTTTTATTACCTATTTGAATTATTCAGAATATATTAAACTAAGGTTTCGTTTTTTCATAACTTTTCTTCTCGATAAAAAAAAAAAATTTAAATTATTCATGTCATATTTATTTCATATTAAACATTAATTTAATATTTCCACGTGTCTGATATTTCTATCGTAACATAATTTACATCTCGATAATTGCAGTAATAACAAATAAGAATAATAAATTAATTAATAAATGTCGTATCACGTTCGATTGCAAAAATCATGATTAATGTTAATCAATTTAATATTTTCCATTAATCCAAAACGAGCATTCGTGCAAAAAGCTTAATCGTCTTAATAAAAACGTTTAAATCCTGTCCTAAATTAAATAAAGGTAGTAAATTTATCCATAAATATAATAAACGCAATATAAATACGAATAAAACGCATGTTCAAACGCATAAACTTAAACGATAAATATTCTTTATTTCATGCTCCATTTATTATATACAAACTTGTGTGAAATAGGCCATAGGTTATTAAATAAATATCTTTTTTTTTCTTTTTCTTAATTTTAATTAAAAATTTTCGCATTGAAATGACAATGACTAGTCTACATTTTATACATTTTATAGAATCCGCAAGTACTTAGCGATTAAAATTGTACATTGTCTCATTAATTTTTCCTCGAAAGAAACTTTCAGTTTAGCCCTTGTCAACGATCGTTACGTTTCTCATTGTTCTTGAAATGTCTTGGGAAAACGAGGGTATAATTCGATTCTGAACGAAATAATCGAAAATAAAAAAAAAAAAAAATTGCACAAGTCGGATTAGAGTTGATTAAAAAAAATTTGAGAGAAAGGAAGATTTTTAAAAAGACACATCATTTAAAAGATGCAAAGTATTGTTTTTTTTTTTTTGAAGGTAAATTTAAGTAGTATATATCTTAATTTTATTTGTGTATAATTTTTATTATTAAAATTATAAAAAAGATGATATTTTATTATATAAATATTTCAAATTATTATCGAATTTGAAAATATTCCCTTCTTTATAATTTCAATTTCAATTTCTTCTTTTTACAATTTCCAAAAATAAAGAAATGATAAAATATTTCTTTTCATTGAAGAGAATCAATTTTGATCATTTATAACAATTCAACGAATTATGATACCTATTCGAAAAAAATCGTATAATACATTTTAAACAATAATATATTTTATATTAATAGAAAAAATATATTGGATCGTAAATTGAGAAACTCTTTTAACCAAGAATAACGATAG